ATCTGCATTTTTTCCTCATTTTGACCTCCATGGATGGAATCTTGAATAACTTGGTCACTCTTTAGACCAAAGCAGTTAAAAATTGGGCCATTTTCTCCGCAAATATGTGGGCTTTTTGAAAATACTCCCATATACAGCTTACTACATGTGTGGCACTGTCCATAACCACTTTTTTCTGCTCTGTCCTGCACAATTTCTTGATACTATGCATATAATTCAATTCTCAATAACTTTTTCATTTTTGGTTCAAATTAGTTGGAATCTAGACCATTTTATCCGCACATATGTGGCCTTTTTGAAACTATTATCATCTATAGATTGTTACATGTGTGGCACTGTCCATAATCATATTTGTCTGCGCCGTTCAGCACAATTGCTTCATACTATGCATATAACTCAATGCTCAATAACTTTTTCACTTTTGATTCAAATATTTTAAAAATTGGCGCATTTTCTGCGCTAGTATCATTAATTTAATATTACACCTTAACATTTACCTTATGACATGTGTGCGCAAAGTTGTAACCCAAAACATCTCACCTACCTAGCGCGTGGGCTGCTCATGCTGTTGCTGAAGGATACAATTCTTGATCACCACTCCAATTGTTTTATGTATATTAATCATGATGATTAATATATATCTGCCTGTTTAAAGTCCTTTTGAATCTACCTCTACATCACATCCACAACATACATGGAAATATACATAACACTCAATGCTATGATCATCTCATCTTTCAAATTAGATCAACAAACCAATTATTGAATGCCTGATTACTGCTTTTTAGATCTGGTAATCCTTTATTGTCTATTTAAAACCCCACATAGTTGGGGCTCTCAAAGACTTGCTGGACTTCTGCAGTTTACGTGGTAAAAGCAGGGGACATTCTCACTTTGTCTCATAGTCAATCTTCATTCAAATTGATGAATCATTCCTCCCCTGAAATATGTCAATTGAATCAATATTTATCACATATTATGATAACATAGTATTATATTCACTTACATATTTCAGAACAGAAGGCCAAGTACATGGTTTTTCCGGTATTAGTGGCCAAAGGTGTGCCTATAGCACAGGTGATAACTTCTTCAATATTGTGTATTTTAATCAAAATTTGAGATAAAAGTCAGAATTGCGCCAATTGAATTGAAATTTGAGATTAAACTCAGAATTGCACCAATTGAATTACAAGACGCGCCCCAAGCTCAAAAAAACTGGAGTAATGCACCTCACCACCACATACAACAGCATACATCAAGCCTCACTAACTTTAATATCAATCCTACGTGCCGGTAATCAAGAAACACATTGATTTAGAGATGGAAAACTCAAGGCAAGGTCAGATTTTAGACCAGCAATCATTTATGGCGGCCTTACACCAACAATCTCCTCTTGAACATCAGCAATATTCAGATCAAAGCTATGAAGATTTAATTCATCAACCTTTTCAAAGACCTACTACGGATCATAATGGCTCAATATATTCTCAAAATATTCATAACAGTTTCAATTTAGGTAATCGAGTAACACCTTTAAATCAAAATCAAGCTGATATCAACCAAATCAATTATGTTCAAGAGGCTCAGTGTGCACCTATTGATTTCAATCAAGATCATCAACTTCCACAACCTCCATTGGTTGATAATCGGCCATGTATAAACCAAAATAATATCAATCAAAACATTCAGCTTCAACATACTCAAACCTTACCAAACACAAGTATAAATCAAAATATTCAGCTTCAACAGGTTCAAATCGTACCAAATCAATTCAATTCACTTTTAAACATTGATCAAAATCATCAAATATCGGTTCCGCACTCTCATCGCGCATCAGCACCAATAGCACCAATTGCTATAAGCTCTTCCCTAAATCGGCAATCAGAATCTGAACCTTTGGGTTTGACAAAAACAACAACATCCGATTCGATAGGAATCTCTACTGTGTCCCAGCCAGCAGGAAAGAAAGCGTCACAAACAAAGAAATCTGCATCTAGATCAAAGAGTTCAACACAAACTAAACCTAACAAAGATTCTAACTGTGAAGAGGAAGTGACTAAGAGCAACAAGGCTCTCTTGGACGAGTTCCTAACACCAGCCCAACGTCTACCCGATAATATCTCTCTTCCAGCTGATCTGACTGTAACTGAATTGTATGCGTTGGATGCCTCGCAGCTTAGGACGCTTGCTGACCAGCATACTCGTGGGCGAGGTCATGGGGCACCATCATTACAGAAGAGACAAATTCTGAGGGATTTTCACAACTCGACCGAGAAACTGCTTGCCATCTTGTGCATCCACCTTGGAATATCACAAGATGTGGCCTCAAACGAGATGTGAGGTGCTCTTCATCCTATTCTCAACTCTAATAGATTATACTTCTGACGTCTATCTTTCTTTTTTGAAGTGGAAAATGCGCATCCTTTAGGGCGTCAAGAAATTATGACTATTTCATAAAATCTAAGGCAGTCTCAGATATCTATCGACAAAGTGAGTACAGCTCAATTCACAATCTTAATACTGAATTCCGACTGAAAGCCAAGTTCTTGTTATGGACAGATGGTGGTCCTCTTAATCCTGTTTCCAGGGAACAAGTACGTGAACTATGGGCAAGTTATACAAAAGAAGAGCAAGATCAGTTTCGCAAAGCTGGCGAGGCATGCGATATTGGTGATATTGATGATATTGATAATATTGAACCAGAGGACAACATCGACAACATCGACAACATCGACGGGGTTAATCCAGATGTAATACCCGACAATCGTCCAACTCACAAAGGCTTACTCAAGATTGTTCGGGGATCGAATGATGAGGAGACCCGCAAGAATGGCTTCCGCACCAAAAGCCGTGACCTGGCGCATTCCAAAATCAAATGCGATGAGTTTGTGGCTAGCTTCATCCAGAAGGTAAGTACATAATTCATTCTTTTCATCTTTTTGTGTGACGCTGATTGATGATTGTTCAACTTGTGTGGCTCTCAGGCAAACAACATGTCTCGAATTCATCCGGCTCAATTCACTATCACAGCTGTCTCAACACACCTTTCTAAGCACTGCTTTCAATACATGTCGACTACACCTGGCTTATGGGAATGGGTGGATCATGACATCAATTCGTCTCCAACTCATGAAAGCACTACTTCAAAGATGCAGGCTTTTTTGACCGGTAAGACAGTTGCAGGCCTCGCGCGTCCTAAGCGAGCAAGTAAGTGATTTCTACTCAATCTTGTGCTCGATCACAATTAATGTCAAATTTTTGAATCGTTTCAGATGGCTCAAGGGTAGAATTAGAGAAGTTGAAGGCCACCTTGAACCAAATCATTCGTATGTACCTGGTTTTTTATCACCGCTGCCTGCCTGTGCAGTGGCTGACACGACATTTGATTCCAGGAAAAGCTACAGAAGCTGCAAACAAGCCTCAAGAAGCTTGGACTTGGTCAAATTGTGAAGCTCGCCTTGCCGAACAAGGCTTCAAGTTGCAATACGAGCCATCCGATCCTTTGTACAAGTTTTGGATCACTAATCCAAATTCTGCTGTCACTGAAGAGAAAGCTCGACAGATCAATATTGACCTTGTAACTCACCCGGTGTCACTCACCCCAATTCCAGGCTTTGTATTCAAGTACAAGTCCGGCAGGAATAACAAGCGAAAACGGGATGTTGGTCTTGATGAGGAAGAGGAGCGGATTGGGGATGTTAATCTCAACATAAATGACTCGAACAGCAACTAATTTAGCTTTCCCTGTCCATTCTTATCGCACAACAGTTTAGCAATCTATACTACACTACTAACCGATTATGTTTGTTCTTTATTCAATCTGGTGCCTCAACTTGCTCGACTCGTTTCCAAATATGTGTTTCTTTTGAACTTGCAATTAGTCCGTTTGTAATCTAGAGGTAACCGTTCCAAAAAAAAATCGAAAGAGCAATTCAAACCCTTTTGCATTTCAGAAATGCTGTTTTCTTTGTTGTCACTTTCACTTAATGAGCGTTTTGTTTATCTTCGATTCGGATCAGAAACTCAATCATATCAAACTCTCATTTCATTGTAACTTTTGGATCAGAAATTCAATCAGATCGAATGCTCATTTCATTGTCACTCATATTTCCGTTTCCATCTCCATTTCCATGTTCATTCTGATCATCAACCCCCATCACCAGTATTGTGATCTTCCTCATCTTCTTTTAATTTAAATCAAAGAATAGAAAAACAAAAACAAAAAATGACTAGCAAATTGTCGACCAGCAATCGCAGAAAGCGCTTGACCACAATCTTCAATTTGTTCAAATTTAATAAACACCTTACCTAATCCTTCAACCGATTCACTCGCTTTCGAATGTATTCTACCTTTTTGATTCTTCTTTGGTCTTGGGATCTTCACATCTTCAATCTTAACATATTTACCTTTTCAAGAAAGACACAATCAATCAATGTGTGTTTGAGAAGTAAGTTTAAGAAAAAAGAACAACGTACTGCATTCTTCTATAATATCTTCCAAAATCTCTTTATACTCTTCATCATCCACCAATTCTTCCGGATTCACCTTATTCAACATCTGTAAGACCTTAGTCCTTTCACCTTGACTAGCCTTCACCGCCGCCAAAACACTAGCAGTCGCTGCCGTTGTATTCGGATTATTACGCTTTTGCTTTTGTTTTAAGACATTTCTCATTCTAGTGACAACATTTCCAAAACATGATCTATACGTTTTGTTCGACTTGACAATGAGATGTGAGATTTTTTCAAGATGTTGTAAAGGTGCCAGTGAAGTTTGCTGAGCAAAGGTGAATGGCCCGACACTGACAGGCCCCTATGAGCGGTGACCGGGTAGGGCAAACCCGATGTTACACACGGACTTGACTGTAGGAAGTCTTAAGCCGGATTTGGGCAAGTTACGGTGTTGAATTTCAAAAAATTTCGCCCGGGGGACTTGTGTGTATTTGGGTGGGCTTAACAGGTCATCTCTGAGAGAGGCTGTTAACAGCCACACTCGACTAGTAGTCGTTTGAAATGTCCCCCTCAATTCGACTACTAGTCGAGTTGTACAGGGTCGCGCGGTGCTCACTTCATGAGAGAAATTTAAAACAAAATGAAAAGTGCGGCCATCAGTTTTAGAGGGCATGGTCGCATCCGCGCATAATTAGGAATGTTCCTTAAAAAAGGTTCCTTAGAGCATCCACAGCCGTGCCGTAAATTGGTATCGTACGGAGGGTCGCACGGGTCGTTTAGGGAAGTGTTTGAGGCATGATTTTTAACTGATGCACAGCCATGGTTCCGTACAGTACGGCTTGAAGCATATTTGGCAAGGTGAGTTATGGGTTATTGATCATCAAGGGGGATGATTTGCAGGGAGTGTCGGCGAGGAAGTGGGAGTTTTATGGGAAAAGCGAGGTACGGATGAATTTAGGGAGCAAGCCGAAATAGAACAAATTTCTTCTATTTTGGCTCACACGGAGGAAATTCCCTTAGCTACATGACAATAGGGGGTTTCAAGCCGGATTGTTTTTGTGAAAATCGTAAAAAAACAGACAAACTTTTTACAACAGTGGATTTTTAAAAATTTGTCTGATCTCATAAAAGACACTGTAAAAATAGATGAGCGTAAAAGGAGCAAACTTGTCTGATTGAGTATCCAGACAGCGCTGGACCGGATGATCTATGATCGGTCAAGCCAATCCAGCTTCAGAACTTTTGTTTTCTTCTTTACCACATCAATTGAATGCAATTCATCTCTATTCATTTTGTTGATCATCTCTTCACCTAATCAAATCCGATGGTCCGCACATCTCAACGAAAGAAGACATTGGCTGAGGTTGAAAACTTTTGTGAAATCATGGAGATCGATGAAGATGATGACTGGTTAGCGGAGCAGGTCTTAGGCAAAAAGATCTTGCCTTCGGTCGGCAACATACTCTTTGAGGACAATCCAGACACCGGTGACCTTATTGACATCTTGTTCAACAAAGCTGGCGAGGCTCGAGATCTGTTAGAGATCCTACAAGGCTTACGATACCACAACACTCAATGGAAGATGCCCTTTGAGATGGAATTCAGTCTCAATGACCTTCTCCGAGATCGAGAGGTCGAGTTTTGACAGTGCATGCGAACCTCACATGCTGGCTTCTACACCCTTCTTGATAGGATCTCCGCTCATCCTATCTTCATTTCCATCACCAACAACCCACAGCCTCCCGTCATCATTCAACTAGCTCTTGCCCTTGAACGCCTCAGCAGCAATGGAAATGGTTGTGCAGTGCGTAGGATGGGAAGAGACTACAAGAGATCAATGGGCGCTATTGTCAAATGTACCCGACGAGTAATTCACGCCATCATCAGCACAAGTAGTGACTATATACAGTGGCCTTGACCAGACAGACGAGAAGATATATCGGCAGTGATGGCTCTAGAGGGTTTCCCAGGGTGTGTAGGTTTTGTTGATGGAACCAACATCCCTCTCTACCAACGGCCAGGTCTTGACGGCGAGACCTTTTTCGATTGAAAAAAACATTACTCAATCAATTGTCAAGTTGTCTGTGACTGTGATCACTGTATCACAGCTTTCTACACTGGATGGCCTGGATCCTGTCATGATTACAAGTGCTTTTTGATGATGACACTTTGTACTGAACCAGAACGTTGGTTTTCGGAAGGTGAGTTCATCAGTTCAACCGATGTGTTTCATTTTGAACAAGTCTCATTGACAAAATCATCTTTGATCATAGGTGAATACATATTAGGCAACTCTGCCTACAAAATCAGCAACGCCGTGGTCTCTACGTGTAAAGGTCAAGCAGCCAATCTTCCGGAAAACAAAGCGTTCAACACACTTGTTGCACAAGTTCGTATACGCAACAAACATACAATTGGATCTCAAAGTGCCGTTGGGCCTTGCTTCAATGCTTACGGCTTTGACTTGACAAGGCCAAGCACATGAAGTCAACCCTTCAATGGATACATGCCTGTTTTATCCTACACAACCTACTTGCTGCACTGGGAGATCAATGGGACAACGAATATGCTGATGACTATGCAAATGACACATATCAAGGTGTGGATAGCTTGTTTTTGGCAATGAATGATATTAGAGATAATGAAATTGGTCGTTTACGCAGAGAGCTAGTGCAAGACTTTGCTTTAGCATTTGATCAAGAAGATGTGTAGGTCCTTCTTTGTTCAAATAATACATGATTCAATTGTACATTCAGAATTATCTTTATTTCATGAGTACATGATGAACATGTACCTTCTGTGCAAAGAAACAAACAAATTTATTTTCATCTAATAGAACAACATTGAAATAACACACAAGCTGATCAGATCAACAAATGATCACAAAGAACTTGACATTTTGAGTAATAAGATACTTGACATTTTGAGTAATAAGATACTTGACATTTTGAGTAATAAGATACTTGACATTGTGAATAGAAAGAAATTTTCATTCATTAAACACTATCTTCAAGTACACTGAAATTTCATCTACAGACACACCATCCCTTTGACAGGTCTCCATAACATCTAAACAAGTTCTCAATGCTAAAGTACTGGCTTGTGCCTGTTGGTTCACAGCTGCTTGAGAGGCTTCTAAATTGAACTTCTCACAAGCCCAGACAATTTCTCTGTCATTCTTATCAGCTTCTACCTGCACTCGTCTCTCTTCAATAAGTGTCCGCCTTATCTCAGTGTCCATACTTCTCTCTTCACGACGTTTCATATTCTCATCGTCACACTCATACTTGATCTTGTCCCAGGTCAGTGATTCTTTAGCTCGTTGATTTTCAGAGTTGAGTTTTTTCAAATCATTCCCATTCTTGGCTTGAAACTTTGAATCTAGGAACATGTACTTCTTATTGTCACGGTCGTCCATAAGAAAGTGTGCTGGTCCTTTGCGGTGTTTTTGATTGGATTCATCAATTGTTGCCAAAGGTTTGGCAGGTTGATCGTCAGTGGCTGCATTTGAAGGCTTGCGTTTTTTGTTTGTCGAAGAGGTTTGATCTGCTTCAATTGGTGTATTGGCAATTACAGGTGGAGCAATTGGAGACGGCAGAGCAATTGGGGATTGGAGTGGTGGAAACTCAGGATCAAGAGAATCTTCAATATTGTCTAGGATTGGATCTTTGTTTGTAGGAGTCCAAAAGAAAGGCAGACCAATTGACGTCATCACCAGAAAGTGAGTTGAGAATAGGATCAATCACGTTGTCATCATCTTCAACCTGATTAACTGCTTGTGTACCTTCAATAATGACTGAATCGTCTTCTCAATCATTTTCTGAAGCTGTCTCTATATCTTCTTCAATTTGATTCATGCTATCCAAGAGGGCGTGTGGGATGACATTGGATTTGTGTCCATAGAGTTTGTCTAGAAGTTCATAGCAAGGACATATTTTTTCTGCTTTTTTTTTGAGGGTGTCCATTTCATCGTCTGCTTCAAGACCTTCACCTATACTTTTGAAAAGTTTCTTGGCTGCTATATATTTCTCTTTTATGATTCTCCACCTCTTCAACAAATCAGTCCCTTTCAAAGCCATTTGTTCATTAGAGTTTTTTGTTGATGTGCAATTGTTATTGTTATGAAGGAAATTCATCATACTTGCAACTGTAGTCCATGCCCCATTTTAACTGAGGCCAAGGCTTGACTTGCTCCCCGATCCAAAAAGGGCGTTATTGACTTTAGGCTTACTGATTTCCTCAATTAAACACGCCAAATCCTTGCAATCAAAGCGAGGATTGGTATGAGCTATCTTGGCCGTCTTCTCATTGTCTTGGACAGGATCAGGTAATTTGGATGATTTTTTGAAAGTGGTTGCTTTAGGAAGAGTAGAAAGAACCCCCGCTGGCTGTTTGGGCAAGGTCCTTTTAGCAGGTACTGGAGTTTTTGATACAGTCGGCTTTGCAGGAGTCGGCTTGGCAGGAGTAGAGCCTGATTCAATCTGTTTGCACATCTCTTTTGACTTTTGAATCTCAGCTGGAGTCGGGGTGGCGTTTGGACCCAGATTCAAGAGTGTGACATCCTCCTGGACCTGTGCCTTTGTCTTTTGAACCATTCTAAAAACAATCCAAAGTGTCAGCAAGCACATTCTGAATCACTCATTCCTTATAAATTCAAATAAAAACAAACCTGCTAATTGTTTGACTGGGTCAACCTTTATTGTGTTTTTTTCTAAACAATTGGGTTGATCTGAAATGGGACAAATGCCCCTGGAATTCATAGCGTGAAGCCAACAATTCGTGGGACACTCAACACCAATAACAGAGACTCAATTATCGAATTGTTGATACAGGGCGATCCTGAAGTTATCAATGGTACTAAAACTTAAAAAAGAAAGAGATACACTATGTGAGTATCTTTTGCTTTCAGTGATCTAAACAAATTAGACGAAGAAGCTTATTACAAAAATAAAAAGAAGGGATTCAACTAAATAATGAAAATTGTTGACTAACGGACGTCCAAATAACTTCAAGATAAGGGCTGGTTGATTGCTGAACAATCAAAGATAAAAGATAACTAGATGAAACAAAATAAACAACTGT